AGAAACAGATGGCAGCTGATTTTAGTAATAAATTGTATTTAACCCAATATATCAAAATATTTTTTTCGTATAATCAATATTTTGAAATCGAGATTTTACTTTTAAAAAATTATCTTCAGATTCCAGCATGCATGTTATATTTGCAGCACATCTCGACTATGACTAGTCAAACAACTACACATGAGTGGTGGCTACCACACTATTCAGCACAAGTCTACATGTGGAGGTGAAGGATGAGGGGAGGGAAAGCAATGGAAAACAAGGGTCAAGGTGTCTCAATGAGTAATCTGCCTTATATACACACAGAAACTATATGCTGGTGGTGGTGATGAGGTCTACCCTGTTACATGGCAGGGACAGAGACCAGAGAAAGTCTGTTTTTGAAATAAATATCCATCTCCACTATGGGTAGCGCCTAAAAAAAAGGGTAGATGCTTATGTATCACTTCAAAATAAATGCATTAACAAGTATTTACTTTTATGAAAGCCACTGTCAAAAAGGCTCCTTTGGCCAAGACAATGTAAGCATCCATAGGAATATGAATAACAACTACATGCAATAAATGTATCAAATATTTAAACCCACAAACTCACAATGACATCTTAAAAATCCTCATTGGTCTGCTTTTCCAGGATTCTAGGAAACACCTCAGTACTTTGAAAATTAGTAAGTAAAGGAAAGAATCAAGTACTTAGTATGCCTTTTCTGTGCCAACTGTGCCAAAGGGTAACCGAATATCTGACCAGGGAAGTTTCTCTTTGTAGAAATATTACAGATAAGAAAGACTTGATAAAATTAGGATGTCAACATTGTGTACACTCATGGAAATAATGGATCAAGGCAATGCTCAGCAATGGCCACCTAACATAACAGAGATAACCAGATATTACGTGTTTCTTCATGTAATTACTTAGTACCACCCATGAAATATTATGCCACCCTAACCCTCCCCTCCAAATAAAGCAAAAAAACACAAACAAAACTGAATTAGGTTAAGCTTTTAGATCTAACTACCAATTTACCAAAATATACAAGTGAAACAGAGGCATTTTACTACAGGAATGCAAGTAATAAAATACAGAATGTGGAAACCTTACAGGGCTTCCCTTTTAGGGAAAACCCTGTAAGGTTTCCACATTCTGTATTAATAAAGAGCTAAAAGCATAAGCTGTACATGCAAACCAAATGTAATATATGGATTTTGCGATTCTGTAAAAATATTATTTATGAGGAGATGAGGAAAGAAACTAAATGAATATACAATGATATCAAGATATTACTGTCACCACCTCACACCCATTAGTAGGCCCACTATCCAAAAACCCAAACCAAACATAACCACTCACAGAAAAGTACTGGCAAGAATATAGAGAAATCAGAACTCTTGTACACTATTGCTGGGAATATAAAATGGTGCAGCCACTTTGGAAAACAATATGGAGATGCCTCAAAAAATTAAAACTAGAATTACCACATGATCCAGCAATCTCACTTCTGGGTATATAGCCAAAAAGATTTGAAAGCAGGATCTCAAAGAGATACATGCTCACCCATGTTCATCACAACATTCATTATTCACTACAGTCAAAGGTGCAAGCAACCCAAATGTCCACTGACGATGAATAAAGAAAATATGATACACACACATGCAACGGAGTATTATTCAGCCTTTAAAGAGGGAAATCCTGCTACATGCTATAACATGCATGAACCTAGACAACATTATGCTATGCTAAATAAGCCAGGCACAAAAGAAAAATACTGTACTTATATAAGGTAGCTAAAGTACTCAAACTCATGGAAACAAAAAGTAAACTGGTTGTTGCTAATGGCTGGGGAAGAGAGAGAAATAGAAGCTGTGGTTCAGTAAGTACAGAGTTTCAATTTTGCAAGACAAAAAGTTTGAGAGATCTGTTATACAATAATGTGAATAGTTAACACTCCACATACTGCACACTTAAAATTAAGATAAATTTTATGTTTTTACTACAATTTTAAAAAGTATATTTAAATTCCTTTTCAAATAAGAAAAATTATTGTCAAGTTTTAAAGTATGGTAATGGTACTGTATATATTTTTAAATAGTGCATATCATCCATAAAGACATACTAAAATATTTATGAATGAAATCATGTGATATAAGTATTGGCTTCAAAATAATCAGGTGTGTTGGGGTATAAATGGTAACAAGATAGTTAAATGAAACAAAACTGGTGACTTGCAGCTGGGTGAGAGTTTATTGTGCTATTCTCTCTACTTCAGTGTATGTTTGAAAATTTTCACAATAAAAAGTTACAACAGTAATACACATTGTTGGTATTAAGGAAAATAATTATAGAAAGTAGTATAAAGCATTCCTATAGGAAGGTAGCTGTAAATCATGATGATTTAAGGTGCAATTAGAGTTAAAATAACTTGTACCTAGGCAAGTGAAGAGAGAAACAAAAATGAATGTTATGAATCCCTCATAGTTATTTCATCAAGAACAAAGTTGAGGGCGGGTGTGGGGGCGGTAGAGTTAACTGTTCCCACAAAGCACTCCTTTATAGCATGTTCAGAGAAAATAAAAAGATGAGACACTACATAGCACAGGCATAATGCTATAGCACTTTTCAGGTCCAAAGAAAAACCACCATTCTGGAGCAAAATCTGTAATTTACAAGCAAGCATTGCATGCAAATGTGTAGAAATGGCTTTTGTATCCTCAGCTAGACTACAAGCAAATTTGTTGTAATCTTGTCCTTCATCTTTAATACACAAACACATATATAGAACACTAACATAAACAAACATTTCTGTGACCATGGCTTAAAAATGATTTTCAACGATTTTCAACAAATTGGCAAACATGAGATAATCTGATTTAAAATACAGTCTACGAGCTGTTCCAAAAACAAAACAAAGCAACACATAGCCTATGTGAGCAGCACACTTAAAACTTCACTTGAGGACAGGCACTTAGAAGAGACAGCCAGTTGCATAGGAACCTGCATCTCAGACACCAAATGCCTATGCAACTGATTCTCAGGGGAGACATGTCACAAATAGTTAAGACTATAACAACCTAGTAAACTAACAGGTTTCAAATGTGAATGTCAAACAAAACACCAAAGGGAGATACTCCAAAATGCCAAAGATGATTTACCATGGAGCTGCTTCTTACAACAGAAACTCTGTAGTGCTCCAGAGGAAAATAGCAGATTTAATGATGGTTAATGAGTCACCCAACCACCCTAAAGGACCCAGCAAGTATTTCATAAATTAATGAATCCTTCCAGTTAGGTAAAAACAGAAAAAAATTTCTATTTTCCCCAACATTCTCCATTAACTGAGGGGGGGGGGCATAGTGGGAGCTAGAAGTCATTTTTAAGAATTCAAAAGAGCCTGGCCGGTCGTGGCTCAGCGGTTGAGCATCGGCCTAGGATCCAGGAGATTGGGGTTCGATTCCCGGTCAGGGCACATGCTCAGGTTGCAGGCTCGATCCCCAGTCGGGGGTGTGCAGGAGGCAGCCAATCAATGGCTCTCTCATCCCTGATGTTTCTATCTCCCCCCCCCCCCCCCCC